ACAAAAGAGACCTCCCGAAAGAACCCAAGAGCCTTGCAAATTCAGTTAAGTCACATGATAAAAAAAACAATAAAAAAAAAGACCACCAATATTTTCATTTTATGGTTATTTGCCTGAAATTAGATATCTATCTTTTGCAAGTTAATCCCCTAATTTATTACAGAATGGGCATCCCATAAAAATTATGTTCAATTTAAGAAGTAACTGTGACCCCATAAGAAAAATTGAACCAAAGGTATTTGTAAATGAAAATTAGCAGTTAAACATATTTGTGGTAGTAAAAGATGGTTTTTTAATAAAATAGTATACAAATGGTAAGATTCAGGAATTAAACCATTTACATGGTATAACTTCCAGCATTTTACTAGAATAGTACACAACTTGAACTCATTCATGTCAGTTAGAAAAGGAGTATGAAAGGCTCTTAAAATTAATAAGATACAATAAATTACATATGGACTAACATCCTTAATTACTTTTACAACCATATAAGTCAAACTTTTAGCAAAATAATCTTTTGGCACAGAAGTAATGTACTCTTTGAGGCCATGGATAACAAACAGCTAATCCTCATGTTACCTGGATCCTTGCAAGGGCTGTGGATGCCTCAACAGCTCTATGCTCCAATTCCACTTCCCTCTCCATGGCACCCTATCTTACCCAGTAAGATTGTTACCACATAATCAAAGAACATGAACGACAAAAACAAATACATAAGAACTATTCAGGTATAAACCATTTTTGTAGCATTATGTGCTGCACGCTCTTCTTCTGCTCTCCGCTCTGCAGATGCCAGCTCCTCTCTTAGAGCCTGACAAAGAAAAAGAACTAATTTTACAGTCTGTAAGTTGTGTATGTATATATATATATGGTATGTGCAGGGATAGTGAAGAATATAACTGTAAGATGCTACATGAAACAAACGAGCGAGATTTTACCTGCATCATCCTCGTCTCTGTCAGTTCCCTATTTCTCATAATGGATTCCATGTTTGCCTGATGAAAAACAAATGGTGTTACCAAGTCTCAGATTCATCTATAATTTATGTCAAGAGCATGAATTAATTGCTGACACATGCAGACATTTTATGTCTGACAGGGTAAAACACCAGGAAACTAATAAAAAAGCCATCTTTAAAACTGAAATGTTAAGTTTACTAAACCTGCAATGAAGCGAGATTTCCTTCAGATAAAGCTGCTTGTTTCTTGAGAGCTTCCATTGAACTGACAAGCGATTCAATTTCTGAGTTCTTTGCAGCCAAAGCCTCAACCATATTTGACTCAACTTTCGTTATTTCATTTTTGGATGCAGATAGATCTTGCTGCAGCTGCTTAATATGTGCCTCATATGATTTGGTCAGCTCTCTCTGTTAATGTAGCACTTTAAATGTTTAATAGAGCCTTCTTCAATACTATCAATAACACAGTCAAATAAGTCTAATCTGCAAAACAAGACATAGCAATTATATTTCACCTCAGCAATGAGAAGCTCCTCCAACTGTGCATTTTCAGATTTGTATTCTTGAAGGCGGGATGAAAGTCCAGCACAGACCTGCATGTTTGTGGCAGATATATTACAACAACATCCAAGAATGTAAAACAATAAATAAGCAGAACTATCAGAAAACAGGGGGGATGTTCGATGCTAAGCACTCTATGATGGGCCCTAGTTTCAGAGCAGCTCAGACTTAATAATTTTTCACAGACAAGTAAAAGAAATATGATGGATCAACAACATGACAAAGAAAAAGAAACTTTCCCTTTACATCAAGTTAAGATATCACTGGGGAAAATGATGTTTGCTTATGAGAAAGCTTCTTGTGAATATTATTCAGATCTAGGAAGAAATGTATAGTGATTCTTCCATTGCTAATAATAGCTATCTCTTCAAGAACACAGCGTTATTCAATATTCTAAAGCTCCCAAAGCAACATTAGTAAATTCCATGCACGTACCCGAGCTAATCTTGCTTCTTTTGATTGGCCAATGGAACCGGTGGTCTTCAGCAGCCGTTGAGCCTGGACATTGACTAAAGGAATTTATGACCAAACTCATAGATTGTCGATGTACTAGGCATTACAATTGAGCAATTCAAACATAATATTTCCATCCAAGAAAAAATTTACCTCCTCAAGTTGGTCCTGTATTTTCGGGGCAGGAGAATCAACTTTGTGCTCCTGTTGCTTCTTTTGATTGATATGAGAGTCAATGGTAACATTTGTATCTCTCACTTGAGCCTCAGCATTATTGGGAGATTCAGTCATTATGGAGTTTGATTTGTCTTCGTCAATCTTCAAAATATCTGCATCTCCTGATTTGGTACTCGGACTAGAATCAATAGGATGCTCTTCACCAACAACTTCAATTTCTTTCTCTGGTAATGATAAAGGAGGATTTTCTACATGAACAGTTCGACTGTCCTCATTGAGAAGGTCACCATTCAAGTGGGACATTGTGACATCCGAATCAGTAACAGTTGCAATAGCTTGTGCATTTTCAGCATCACATTTAGCACTGTCAGTTCCTTTCATTTCTGATGATGAAATGCTATGAGCCTCTTTATCAGTTTTCTGTTCCTGCCCATTGCCTGTTCCAGACACAAAATCAGTAGAAGTGGCCCCCTTATTTTCTACTGAAGGAGCAGCTCTTTCTTTATCACGGGCTACATCTGATTGGGCTGGTTGGCTACTAGTTTGCTCCCTTGCAAAATCATTCTTTTCAGGAGATTCATGGGCAGAAAGTCTCTTTTGGGCCTGCAAACAAACTACATATAAGTTAAAACACCCAACTTCAGCAGTTGCTAGGAACATGTTTACTTCACCTGAATATGTTAACACTCAATACCTTTGTCCCTGACTTTGTCCTCCTGGCTTGAGATCCTCGACCGTTGGAGGCTTAACCCAATAAAGGAGAAGGAAGACACACAATAAGCAGAAGACTATGCATTAACTTAAAGTAAAGAGTAAGAGGGATGATGTTTATTGAGAACTCGCAGCAATCAGAGATATCCATGTTTTTAAACAAAATTCCGAGATCTTCAATCCCATGAATGGTGATTATTGTGAGGATCACCTTTTCGTGAGGGAAAATACCTCTATTGTAGATAGAGCAAGGAAAGGTACTTAAATCAATTTCGGGTCTTTCCATGTTTATCTTATACTCAACAAAAGAAACTAGAGCTGCAATAATGTCAATTTCATCGATAAAATTAAAGATGAAATGTGGTTTTAAAATAAATCTCTGTCAATGGCATGTCCCCTAACTCCCTTGCCTATTATAACATATCTTCTGTATAATCCACTAGAAGATGGAATTATGGTTAACTCAATTGCTTGCTTCTATTTAGTGTACACACGCATTTCTTTGGTTTTTATTAAACCTTCTCATTTATTTAGCCATAATATCCAAATGAATAATGCATGTACACATATTAGAAATGAAAATGTAATTATTTCGGATAGAAAATATTAAATATGAAAATGCAGTTTGCTTCCCACAGACAGAGAGAGGGAGAGAAGTAGAAATCGAAAATACAATTAGTAAATATCGAGATAAATAAGGCTAACAGCAGTTGAATTTTTTTTTCTTTTTCTCCCGAATCTTGACCCTGAAAATTGAATTAGAAATGGATTCTGAATTGAGAACAGAGAAATTTCAAATAGCCTTACAGAACATTCATCCATAGCTTGTGTCTTCGATATAGGATAAATAACACTGAGAAAGAGGCATAGCCACTAGGAAAATACAAGCCATTCTCTGTCTTTAAATACTTGAAATATTTAAGGGCCTTATTGACATAAGAAAAGAAATAGTGAGTAGCCATGCGTGTACCTCTTATTGATACAGGACAAGTAGTGGTTACATTAACTTGTCTTATTGATAGTCTAAAAATAGAGAAAATTTAGAAGAGAAACAGGAGAATAAAGATGGGCCTGAGGAAATTAGGAAAAATTAACTTGTTTAGGATTCCTAGGGGGTGGATGAAAAAGTGTGTGGGAATTAAGAAGTCTTTATGGGCTGAGAGAAGGGAGGATCATTTTTTTGAAATATAAGAGAAGTAATATTATTCACAAAAATACCCAGGGGGTACCGCTCACGTACAAAGCATAATTACAAGTCGATTAAGTGGTTTATGACCCATCCAAAATCATCCCAATCTTTAATGTCATGATCTAACCAAATAAAACCAAAAATATAAATCCATCTATGTTTAATGTTTGTAATGTTAATATCGATGCCCTCAAAAACTCTCGCATTTCTTTCCTTCCACACAATCTAAAAAATAGTTAGTGGAATAAGGAACAAATGTTTTTTCTTCTTACAATAACTTGTCCAAACCCACAACTCTTTACTTACATTTTCAGCCATTACCCAACTTAAACCCAGCAAACCCAAGACAGAATTCTAGATGCTATAGGTCGTCGGGTACCACAAAAGTAGATGGTTGCATGTCTCCTCAAACGATTTGCAAAGATAGCATCTGTTAACTATGGAATTATCTCTTCTTTTCAGCATATCAATAGTCAAAATGCATTCTTTAGCGGCTTCCCAAGTAAAAAAAGTCATCCTAGGAGGGGCCCATTTTTCCAAATCTGTTTAAAAGGTGTTGAAATGATAATTTTTCT